GACCATTGGACTCATGGAGGACTGAATTTACACACACACTATATATATATATATATATATATATATATATATATATATATAGTGTGTGTATTTAACAACAAGCTAATATTTTACTCGTAAAGGGCTGCAGTAACATTGTTCCTTCTTTGATAATGTCCAGACTGGTTTTCTTGTCTGCTGTGATAAAGAAGACTGTCTGGAACATGAATGTGTGATTGACAAAATGCTGTCGCTTACCAGATGAGTGGTTTCAATCTTGGGTATCTTATGAATGAGAACGGCTACAAAGGCAGCACCAAGATAATGAAATAAACAATAACTGCATTAGCGGTAATTTTTCCCAATACAAGACAATGCTATTAATTTTTTTAAATCCTTGCTCTATAAGAATAGTAACATTTTAGGATTTAGATCTCCTGAACAAGTAGCAAACTTGATTTTTACTACGTTTGGACTCGTCAGTTTTGTGAACAATCAGGTTACACAGAGTATTGCAAAAGGCTAAGCTGTAAGAAACAATACCAAAAATGGATCATTGTGACTACAGGTTCCTCAGCCATGAACTGTGTGGGAAATCTTATGAGGATATCAAACAATAAAATAAGTTAAATTGAAATATGACAACATAATTTTTTTTCTATGTCACTTGTTGGTGGCATCATCTAAGTTTTATTGTTCTGAGTCAGAAGTATTAAAGCTCCAAGGGAAGATTTATGACACAAAAACAAGAACAGACAGGCTCGTTGGATGATTGAGACTCAGCCTGTAACATAACAGGTGTGGGTCTACAGCTTATCTGTAGGGGAGGAAGAAACACGAGTAGGTGCTGACACATGCAGTGTGACACACACACACACACACAACTGTTTGTTCACAAAGCTCATATGAACATGGTGGTTCTGTCTCCTGTAATGGGCCAAGTGGAGGAGGGCTATAATTTAGTTGGGAGTTGTGTGTAGTATGTCGCTACTTCAGGTGAAACTAGCTGGAGCACAACAAACGGCTCATGTTCCTCTTCACGCTTGTATCTGATGTAGTTATTATCACTGTTTTGATGGTTTACTGTAGGATTTCTGTTATTGTTACATTAAAGGGGATCTATTTCTACTTTTCAGCTAGTGTTTCTGCCTATTTAAGGCTTAACTATAACTCCTATTTCTCTGTCATGCATTGAGTGACGTGACTGCTGGTTTTTGCGGCTGACATTTCTATTTGAACTGCTGCCACACAAACGATTTAAAGTGGTGGGGACATCTTCAAGGCTAATTTCACCAAACGGTCATGCTGAGTGCTTGATATTGCTTAATTTTGCAAGATTTTAGTACACTACTAATAAATACATTTACAAATATAGTTTATCTGTTTTTTTTGTTTTATTTTTATTGAAGTGAGAATGAATATGCCAATTCTCTCTTTTTGTTTGTGTGTGGTTATATAACCAGAGGCAGTGCCTTTCTGTGGAAGTGCTTAAGGTATCAGGGGTGCAATTTGTTAATCTGACTCCCAGCCAGTCTGGCTGAAAGGTCACAGAATTTTGTAAGCCACCTCCTGTGTCAGACAGAGACACCTTCCAGTTGGAAATAGTCCTGATGTCATAGAGGAAATGCCTGCTGGACAGAGGTCTTTCCTGCTCACACAGCCATCAACAAGTAGTGCTTGAACTTGGCAGGAATTAGGGCTGGAGTTTGCTTACATGTGTGTGCATTTGCGTGCATGAGAAGTTCAATATCTAGTTAGCTCAACAGTGCAATGAAATGTGCAGGATGAGAAGAACCCATTTGACTTGCTAAAAAAAAAACAAAAGAACAAACAAGCATGAAATACTAAAGCATTCAATAAGGGTACAAAAATACCAAAAAGTGAAAAAGAAAATATAATATTTATAAGGTCCAAAGAGAAGTAGTAAACAACATGGTAGAGTATAACAGTGCAAGTAGGACTAATTTGTATGAAAAAGTATTTCAAGGTGTATAAGCTTAAATGCACATGATATATATTGTACATAACTAACATAAACTACACAGGTTGTGTGACAGGTTATTGTGCAGGTAGTGAGTGACATTGAGATTAATTGAATTATTATGGTAAGGTAGTGGCATACTGTACATGATATAGACATATGTGACATACATGATATATGGCATGAGATACGACATACAGTGAGGAAAATAAGTATTTGAACACCCTGCGACTTTGCAAGTTCTCCCACTTAGAAATCATGGAGGGGTCTGAAATTTTCATCTTAGGTGCATGTCCACTGTGAGAGACATAATCTAAAAGAAAAATTCGGAAATCACAATGTATGATTTTTAAATAATTTATTTGTGTGTTACTGCTGCAAATAAGTATTTGAACACCTGCCAATCAGCACTTATTATTCTAAATTAAAAGCACCTGTTTGAGGTCGGTAGCTGCATAAAGACACCTGTCCACCCCACACAATCAGTAATACTCCAACTACTAACATGGCTAAGACCAAAGAGCTGTCCAAAGACACCAGAGACAAAATTGTAGACCTCCACAAGGCTGGAAAGGGCTACGAGGCAATTGCCAAGCAGCTTGGTGAAAAAAGATCAACTGTTGGAGCAATTATTAGAAAATGGAAGAAGCTAAACATGACTGTCAATCTCCCTCGGACTGGGGCTCCATGCAAGATCTCACCTCGTGGCGTATCGATGATCCTAAGAAAGGTGAGGAATCAGCCCAGAACTACACAGGAGGAGCTGGTCAATGACCTGAAGAGAGCTGGCACCACTGTTTCCATGGTTACTGTGGGTATTACACTAAGACGTCATAGTTTAAATCATGCATGGCACGGAAGGTTCCCCTGGTTAAATAAGCACACGTCCAGGCCCGTCTTAAGTTTGCCCATGACCATTTGGATGATCCAGAGGAGTCCTGGAAGAAAGTTATGTGGTCACATGAGACCAAAATATAACTTTTTGGTCTTAATTCCACTCACTGTGTTTGGAGCACGAAGAATGATGAGTACCATCCCAAATACACCATCCCTACTGTGAAGCATGGGGGTGGATGCATCATGCTTTGGGGGTGTTTTTCTGCACATGGGACAGGACAACTGCACTGTATTAAGGAGAGGATGACAAAGGCCATGTAGTGAGAGATTTTGGAGAACAACCTCCTCCCCTCAGTCTGAGCATTGAAGATGGGTCGTGGCTGGGTCTTCCAACATGACAATGACCCGAAGCACACAGCCAGGAGAACCAAGGAGTGGCTCCGTAAGAAGCATATCAAGGTTCTGGAGTGGCCTAGCCAGTCTCCAGACCTAAACCCTATAGAAAATCTTTGGAAGGAGCTCAAACTCCGTGTTTCTCAGTGACAGCCCAGAAACCTGGCTGATCTAGAGAAGATGTGTGTGGAGGAATGGGCCAAAATCTCTGCTGCAGTGTGAGCACACCTGATGGAAAAACTACAGGAAACCTTTGACCTCTGTAACTGCAAACAAAGGCTACTGTACCAAATATTAACATTGATTTTCACAGGTGTTCAAATACTTATTTGCAGCAGTAACACACAAATAAATTATTAAAAAATCATACATTGTGATTTCGGGGGGGGGGGGGGGGGG